TCGGCCCCCCCCCGCCCCTCCCAACCCCTTCCACCTCTTTGGCTGCAGAGAAGACAACACTCTGGACAGGGGGCGTCCCCTGCACCCTAAGGGTAGCGTTGGCTGTGGGAGGAGGAGAGAAGGACTGTTCGGGCCCCAGCCCCTCCCTTCACCCATCCCACGGTCAAGCCGGCCGCAACCCCCCCGCACCTCCATACCAAACACCGAGATGTCCACGTTGATGTAGGCCACCGTGCGCGCCTGCAGCTTGCTGAAGAACTCCTGCGGGGGCAGGGGCGACGTCAGCCCGCCGCCCCGCCCTGACAGGCCCCTCCACCACCCACCCAGGGGGGCCCACTCACCTCCGTGAACTCCGTGGAGCCAATGAGCCCAAACTCCTCCGCCCCCCAGCTCGCAAACACGATTGATCTGCGAGGGCGCCAGGTACCTGGAGAGGTGGGGAGGGGGCATTGGGGGCAGGGTCCCCCCATCCTGGGGCGGCTTGGGGGAAAGACTGGGGATGTGGGAGGTGGAGGGAGCTGGACAAGGCGGGGCAGCTGGTTGGTAGCAAGTCCAGACCTCCTCCAGTCAGGCCTTCCAAAAGGTTCCCCCAACGAACACGGACCCCAACACCTCACTCCCTCGGGTCAGATGGTGCCTTCTGCCGGAATGCCCGCCTCTCCCCTCTCTGTAGGACGCTCTCGGAAGACCTGACCTCCCACCCGCGACTCTGGTCTCCATGCTTCCCACGCAAAACTCCCCCCCACCATCTTCAATTGATGTTACATTGTTGCTTCTTACGATTTTATCCACATTAAACCGATCCTTACAACAATACCTTGACAGAGACACAACGATTATGATGTCCATTTCACAGTTAAGGAACCCACCTGGAAGTTAAGTGACCTGCCCAGGGAAACACAGCTGATAGACAGCAAAGCCAGGTCCCAATCCAGGCATCTGGCTCCACCCCTGTCCCTGCCTCTCAGAGCCCCCGGCAAGCCTGGCTTCCACCTGCAGTCTCCGCCCACCCTGCTCTCGCCACTGTCACCCGCCAGGCCTCCCAGAAACCTTGGTGAGTCTCGCCTGCCCCCTCACTTCCTCAGACTCCCCTCGCCTCTGCATGACACTACATGCTCCAGGACCTGCTCCCACCTCTGGCTGCATCTCAGTCCCCTTGACCATCTATCTTTTGTTTTTTTTTTTTTTTTTTAGTTGGG